TCATAGAAGAAACAGCAAATCATTTTACAATCTTTTTTTGCAAATTTAGAAAAACATATTCAAAGGAAATTTTTTGTCACTGAGATAGGCAACCCCACCCCTCATTTATGTGACCTTGACATTGGTGGATTATTTGAAAAATATTACAACTAATTCACCAAAAATCTTGAAAAGAAATTTTCAGAGAAGATGGAAGTATTATTGTTACTGTTTTTTTTTTTTCCAGATATATCATTGATATGATACATTGAACAATTTTAGCAGACAGCTTTCACACATTCATTTTATACTTCACTTTAACAAACTGTTAAAACTGATTTGTTTCTATGTAAATTAAGTAATTAGAATGGCTAATCAGCTTCAAAGCCTAGCAAGAAATAGAAAAATGTTTTGTGAGAAAATGCTAAACTAATAAGAGGTACAAAGCTGTTGCCTGTACAAAAGTTTACTGAATAGATGCAAAGCCAGTACCCATTTTTTATAGGTATATCTAACCTTCGCAAGAGGGCGCTAAACACCATCATTGATTGCCTGGTTAAAAATTTGAAGAAAATCAATATTCTAATTGACAAGAATTGGAAAAGAAATACTGTTGAGCATATTTAACAATGTGCCCTTAGTACTTTGGAACTGGGAACCCAACTTTTACAAAAATATTATGTAAGTTTCCAAAAGCAGTCAGTGTAAAATGTATGGCTTTGCTCTGAATAGATCCAGACTGACAGCAGAAAAATATCATGCAGTACAACAGCTTTACACAATTTACTATACAATTTTGAATGTATAGGAACCACACTACAGAAAAAAACTTGAAACAAAACTTGAGAACCAGTCTAACAGAACTTCAAATTTATGCTAAAACAAAAATAGGAAACCAGTCTATTCCAGTAAGAAATGTAATCTGTTTAATTAAAATATTTTCCATGGTAACCAGTCTAGAAAAAGCGTATCGGATAACTGTCTACAATTTGTTTTCCCTTATGGGCAGGGAACCAAACTAATAAAAAAGGCCAACAGTATTATTTATCCCTTTGACCTAGTTGTAATTCTTTCATTGACTATTAATATGGTTCGCTGTCATATGATGCTCATGAAAGGAAGGATATAGCATGGTTACCTGTCTATAAGTTTATAAAAAATATTAAAGGTGGCGTTGTAGAATACTACTCAATTAGTTTCGATAAATCAACGCCACCTAGTAGAGAAAATTGATATAAAAGAGGTGTAGACAGTCAGTTGAGGTGTTAAATTCATACAGGCCTATCACCTAAAAAGTTATTGGTATTTGAGAAAAATATCAACAACTTTTGCATTGGTAAAAAAGTTTTTACCATTCTTTCACAAAATTATACTTGTCTTGTGACTACTGTTATTATAACAGAAATTGAGATTATTTATAGTTTTATAGGTCATTGATTTCAAGTTAATTATGCTCCTTTAAAAATTGATTTACTGATGTATTTAAAAAATTTTTAAATACAAAAAGAGATGAGAATTTTTTTTTAAAAAAAAAAAAAAAAAACTCTCTTTTTACCTCTTTTATCCTCCTATCTAAAAAAAGTTGTGGAAAACTCTGGGAATATTTTCTCTTTTTATTCCAAAAATTTTCATTTGGATGCTTCTCTACAAAATGAATTTCTACCATTTTGAATTGATAATAAAGTAATTGCTCTAAAAAGAATAGTTCATTACAATCTGCACACCAATTTACAGGGTTTTTCTTTATAAATTAAAAGAAATAAGGAGTGATTTGATTTAAAAAAAAAAAAAAACTTTTTCTATGATAACCGGTATTCTGACTATTTCGTCATATTTTTCTACACCAATTTTCGCTCAATGATTTTTTTTTACTGCTCAACCAGTCTTTTATGTTATCAAAGAATTTCAATTAAAATGAAAACTTTATTGTAAAAGAATGTTTTGCCAAAAATCAAAAAACAAACAAACATATTTTGTCTCCTTTATCATTTTTTTTTATAAGAAAGTCATAATCAAGTATCTACCAGTTAATTAAAGTGGAATTTAATCGTTTTACTGAGTAGTTTCAATGAAAATTTAAATCGTAATATATAATCAAAATGGCGACTATGGATTGTTCAAATATGTATGATGTAATTATTAAACACTGTTTGAATGAGCGATAAAACATATAAATTTGAAAATTATATGTTTTCTTTTTTCAAAAAGAATTACCAGTCTAATGCGCCTGGTCAGTTCACTTGAAGGAATAAATGACTGCTTAAATATTCTCCTTTATATATATATGTACATTATGACCTGCGTGTATTATTATTATAAGCACAATGCTATAGAGGTCACTACTAGTACCGTTTCGTTGGTAAATTATATTTATAATGATTAAACATGGAAATATTATATAAAAACAATGATTTAAATTATTTTGGTCAATATTGTCGAATGAGTGATAAATAAAAAAAGTTTTATTTGGATTAAACTGGTTTCCATTTTTCGTCCGACTGACTTAAAACTTTACAAATATCTATTTATTTATCACACCAAAATATTGTCCTTTAGACTGGTTCCCTGTATTATTATGGGTTTTTTTTAAATTAAAAGAAGTTTTGTTAAATACTAGTTTATATGGTTTGTTCTTTGATATCATAAAAATAAATGCCAATTGCTTTGTTTCTTCATTTTTTCTTATAAAAAAAATGAATGGAGAAAAGTTGAACAAAAGGGTCAAAAATCTTCAGCAATTTTTCTACCTGATGACCTGACATTGCTTTTTTGTCACATTTATGATTTATATGACTTGAGATAAAGAATATATTTCCTCTTTGTTTGTTTCCATCATGTGATAGAATATCTTTGCCTTTCTGGCCTCTTTCAAGGAGAAGTGTGAATTTTTGTTCATTTGGATCTGATTTTTCTTCCTTATTCATTTCAAATGAGTTCTTTTTGTAAAATTGTTACAATCTAAGTTTGATCAGCTTCCCAATTATTGATTTTCAGAAACATTACCATTATTTGTGGCTCTTTAGTTTAATCAAACATGTTTTCAATAAGAAAACTTTAATGAGGGAAATAAATTAAATATCTTAAAATCAGTTGAATTTTCTTAAAGAGAGGATGGAGATTTCCGAGAACAAGTGTAGAAAATAGAATTTCAAGTTAATTTTTATTAATTTCTCACTAAGGGAAAAGAAATCGGAACCAGTCTAGGAGAAAATCAAATATGACTATACTGCTTAGGATTATCAAGGTAATAGTATATCGCAATTCAAAACGTTTTTAACAAAAAGTAAAAAAAGGAATTAATTAAAAAAGTACAAGAACCAGTCTATTGTCATTTTAATAATAGGCTATAGTATTAAAAAATTCATAAACGTATATTGGTATGGCTCTCCAACCTATACTTTCTTGGCAAGGAACAGGCGACCAAGCTACCAGAATGTTTTTCTCATCCCAAAATGTTTTTACCAGGTTTATTTATGCTTTATACCGGTTTTTATCACTTTCCAAACTTTAGACTGGTATCCCAGTACATATAAAAATATTACCTTAAAATAATCATTAAAATTTAAATTATATTAGTACCAGTTTTCGTTTGGAAAAGTAAAAAATTACCCTAACGGTCGATTGGGTAAACTAATCGTTAAGCCACACCCCCCACCCATTTTAGCAAAACGTTTAAAAGCGGTGATGAAAAACATTTCACCACTCAGTCCAGCTGACTTGATCCTAATTACTAAGCTGTTACAGAAGTGATAGGCTATTATCGCTCTTTCTCTGTAACAGAGATTTTCTACCGGTTAATTGCAATTTATTATAGAGAAAAAAAAAAATTTGTTTTGATGTACCAGTTAATTCTGATATGGCTTAAAAAAAGATTATATCAAAGGTTGGGGATGTTAGTTTGCTATACTCTCTGACTTTCATCAAATATCAATCAGATATAAGAAATTTTTTCTGGGTCAAGTTAGTTTTGACCTAGAAAAAAGATAACCATTAATTTTCCTTCTATTGTTAGTTAATCATCTCTTTTCTGAGTCTTCAATTTTTTGAACATTTTTAAATTTTTTTAATGAAAAAATGTTTTCATTTTCTCTGTTTATCGCCAATTTGGTAGGCCTTTAACACTAATTAGCATTTGAAAATACCACTAATTTTAACATTATTGTCAATTATCGCTCACTGGGCTTTTTATATCAAATTATGTTTTGAAAAGAATAATTAATTCCTAGTGAGGAATCCATTTCAAAGATTTTTTCCTGTACAAGAAATTTTCTACCAGTTAATTACTGTAGACTAATAAAAACTTTGCATTTTAGAGTTCTTCCTTTAGAATGTAATGTTAACAAGTCACACTGACTCAACCTCTCTGTAAATTAATGTAGTGCTGCCATCTTTTAAATGAAAGCCAACCATATCAGAATGTTTTGCCATCTACCAGTTAAAATCAGTGCATTTTAGACTTAAGTTTTTCTAAGCTTTTTCTATTTTTTAAAGTTTCATGTTTGACGGGAACCATATTAAAATACATTTGAAAAATTATAATATGAGAAAGTTTGAAAAGTTTTTTGATAGAAAAAAAATGGGGGAACCACACTATGTTATAAAGAGTTGGTTGTTAGGGAAACGAACAGGAACCGAACTATAAGTTTTTTTGTTAAAATATCACCAGTTACAGGAGTTGGAGCTATTTATTAATTTAAATAATTTATTCAAAAATTTAAATAATTTATTCATATGAATTCAAAACAGAAAATTTTTTTTAATATGTAGAAATCAAATTCCTATCCTAAATTTATTCATTTTCTACTGTTTATACTAATGTGTTACTGGACTAAATATCTTAAACAATTGCTTAGAAGAAGGGTATTTTGATTGAGCGAAAATATAGTTGTTTATATCCAGATATTTTCTACCAGTTTTCGCTAAAATTATATTGGTTGACAATTCTCACTGTTCAGTTGTTAGTTAAAAATGGCGTTGAAGTGTTTTATTTGTAAGAAATTTTTAAAAAACAAAGGGAAAGCTGTCTGTTCATTATGCAAGAAAAAAACTCATAAAAAATGTTTAACTGGTAAGTAAAAAAAAAAGAAAAATATATATGTAAATGTGGAAATTTTTAATTTTAAAATTTCAGATTCTAAATGTCCAACATGTGAAACAATCCAATCATATCATTTAAAAGTCTCATTGAAAAAGTGTCATATAAGAAGAAAAACAATGCTTAATGACACTAGAATTCAAGATAAAGATGTTAACAATAATAAAGAAATTTTTAAAAACAAACAAGAACAAGAGAAAGAAGAAAAAGAAGAAGAAGAAGAGGTTGAGATAGAAGAGGAAAAGCTAGAGCTTGAGGATAGAAATGATAATTATGATGATGATGATGATTGTCCAATTGTCACTCGTTTCAAAATTGATATTCAAGAAATTGATATAAGTTCATTATAAAATTGTTTTTTTTAATAAATATTTCTTTTTTTGAAAATTTGTCTTCCTTTTTTTTTAACTTCTTATCAATCATCCAACTATATTACAAAGCCAATTTAATGAGCGATAATGGGGTATTTTAGTATTGAAGGTCAAGTTAGAAAATTTTGAAAAAATTTTTTTTTTAAGGTGAAGGTCAATTTAGGCCAAAAATATGGCCGGATAGTAAAGGTGATTTTTAAAAAAAAATCGCGTGACTTTGAAGGTCAAGGTTGAGTAGTAAAGTTGAGTAGTATCCTAAAAAATAATTATATTACCAGTTTTTACTTAAAAGAGACGCCACCTAACGTCCTAAAATTCATAAGAGTATAAAAGCAAGGAATACAAGATTAACAAGGTATAACATTGTTAAAAGTTGACTCTGAAAAGAGTCGCCTAATCTTTAATGTCTATCCATCAGATAAGAACATCTATTATAGTAGATTTGAAAATATTTAAAAGATTATCATGTTAATCTTTTAAGATAATCCAGTAAAAGTTTTCTCTCTCTTTTTTAGGACAGTAGTGTCCAAAAAATTTAAAAAATTTTTAATTTAGTTTCCCTCTAGTTGATATATCCTATTGGTTTTCATGGAATATCATTTACGATTTGGAGCAGTTAACCATACTGTTAAAGAGTTTTTCTCCAAGATGTCCAGAAAAGAGTCTTTTAAGTGAAAGAAAACTGGTATAAAAAAAAAAAAAGTGATTTTTTTTCTGTATGTGCAAAAAAATTTTTACCAGGTTTTATCATAGCTACCTGATAGAAGGTAGAAAAACAAAAACAAACTTTTCTACCGGTTTATTTTAACCTCGTTTTGGTTCTGGAAAAAAGTTGGAATATTTTGCCAATGATATTTCAGTCTACATAAAGACCGTCCCGACGTCTCCATGATCATTCGCAATCGAAATCCTAAGCGAACAACTTGTAATATTTTACTAAGGTTCTGGCCGCGAGTTTTTAATTGCTGTTGGGCAATATCTCCCAATAGATTGGAAAACAGTCTTTCCTTTGATCTTATCGCTCACTGACTTAGCTTTAAGACATTACATTATCGTCCATGATGGCTTTTTTTTTACGTTAAGTACTATTTGAAAATACCGCTAATTTTAACATTTGGATATTGAAGCATTTTGCTTTTTGCAACCAAACCTCTAATAGATATATTATCGCCCATATGGCCTTTGACATTAATTAATTTTGCAAAAGAAATTGAGTTGAAAGAAGAAGACAATTAGTTTTCTGACGCATTATCGCCCAGTTAAATCTTTCATTAATTATTATTTGAAAATACCGCTAATACTAACATAGTGAAATTTTTCAGTATTAGAAAAGTGACTTTCCAGTATTGGAAATTTTCTACCAGTTAATTATTGAAAATCCTGCCAATTCAGCAATTTAAAATTAGAGTACTGTAAAATGAAGTTATTTTAATTAAATTCAAAGATTTCATCATTTTCCAACTCTCTTTTTCCTAAAATATCAAAGAATTTTTTATATGGAGACGGGAACCATACTAAAAAAATTTTCATCATATCAACCTAATGCTAAATGTTTTTCTGATATCAATTACTTAAAAAAGAATGACAAACTCAAAGAGACAAAAATTCAGGTCAGTTGAACACAACATTTTTAGCTAATGAATTTCTTCAGAAAGACATTTGTGAAATTGGAGAAAGAATTTTAATCTTTGAAACAAAAAAACTAGGTGAACTTGGTATCAAAATCCAACTGCTGATATGAAACAAGTACCTCTAATCATTGGTCAGTTTTTGGTTTATCAATTAGAACCAATAATGATTGTGAGGGATGGCATCAAAGAATGAACAGTAAGCTACCTGCCAAAGGATCTTTTTACATACTTGTTGATGAGCTAAAGAATGAGGCTGAATTGATATGAGAAATTATTGTCAGAGAAAATGATTTACAAACAAACATCAAAAGAAAATGTATTTTGACAAACAGAAATAAATTTTTGATTTGTGGGATGATTTCAAATTAAACAAATTGACATACATTGATTTATTAATGCAGACATCTTATATCACCAGACCACTTTTTTTAACCTACGGATATTTTTGCCCCTCACTGTTTAACTGCTTTTTTTTCAGATAGGACAAGTTGGACAAGAACCAAACTAAAGTATATTTTTAATTGCAAATTACAATTACAATTTAATACAGCAGCCATATTTCTTACAGTGCATTCTAATGTGACTTTTTTTTGTGTGAATAGGAACCCGACTACTTTTTCATTTTTTATAATGTTGATAAAACACATATCTTTTAAATGCTATGTATTGTTATTTCAGAGAGCAACTTTAAAGGTGCGAACAGTAACCACTCTAAAACATTAAGGAAATATTGTATTTTAACATCTGTTTTTTCAAGAGTGATAGGAAACCATACTAGACTTTTTATTTTCAATTTAAATTTGTTGAAATATATTATTACAAAGGGAATCACACTTTAAAAGAGGGGGGAAGGGACTAGAACCAGACACACTTATATATGTATCTTTTAAAATATTTTGATATCACAGCTAACATAATACAATGTGTTTTTTCTTATATTTGACAGAAAATTAGATTTAAATGAAAAGTTAATTTTAAAATGGAAAGGGAAACCATACTAAAACTAAAAGAAAATATCTTCTGAAATACATTTCTCTACAGTGGCTAAAAAAAGCATAATCTTTAAAAGTTAAAGTGGAATAAGAACCACATTAAACTGCATTAACTTTAAAGATTACAGAAAAACCATTCTAGAAAGCTTCATTTAAGTAATAAAATATTATGAAACGCTTTTTAGGCGGAATAAGATACCGGACTACAAATAGGCTAAATTTTATTTATCTTACAAAAATTCTGAAATTTGTTCAGAGAGAAAGGAGTACAAGATTCTCTAGCTTTGAGTGTAGGGAAAGCACACAATTAACACAACTGGTTTTAAAGTTTTCGACCTTCACCTTCGATTTCTTACAGAGTACTTCAAACAAAAACCATATCATTCCAGCACTATATGGAAGTAAAAATATTGTTATCAACCTTCATCTTCAGAAACTGCCAGAAATTATTTAACATTAATTTATCTATAAAATTTGACCATTTGACCTGTACCTTACTCTTGAAAAAGGAGAGAGGGCATATAAAACAATACATTAAGAAACCTGTTTAGTGTGGTTCCCGTTCCTCAAAAAAAACAAACAAAAACTTTTGAGAATGTTTTAATAAAAAATCATGGTTTTAAATGGAAGGGAGACCATACTAGAATACATGTTGAATAGTGTTTTCAAAACATATGGAACCCTGCCAGATTATACTAAATGAAGTTGGAATAGGAACCACAAAATTTATATTTAATACTCCAGTTAAAATTTGTTGTGGGATCCGCAACCACACTAAATATTTCAAAAGGTTTTGGGTGAAGAAGATATGACAAATTTATGCCTCTTGTTCTTGAATAGAAAGGAACCAGTTTAATGTTTTTGATAGTGTAACACCTGGAACCATATTAAATTTGTTTATGGTTCTACTCGAAAAACACACAATTTCATGTTTCTTACCGAATTTTCAAGGTTAAATAATGAATTTGAATAATTTATTCATCAGATAATTTCTTTAGTATATTCATCAAGAATTTGAATAATTTATTCATAAAAAAATTTATTTAGGTTGATGTAACCATTGGAGACAGTAATAGATTTCTCTTCACAGGTTTTAATATTTGTTTGAACCAACTTAAAAGTGAAATTTTCACTTCACCAGTTCAAACCCGAATGATTAGTTTCCTCGCTCGTCTCCGTTTTTATAGGATTGGAGTTAGACTGGCTAAAAAAAACCAGTTGAGAACCAGTCTAAAAAAACTTTTTTTTTGGGCAACGCTTTTATTAACCAGTCTAATAAAATATTTTACTTTGAATATTCATGACAAGGACTTTCGTCTGGAACCAGTCTACGTTATCTACAATAAATTTTACCTACAAACCATACTAGTTCAAAATTACTCTTTTATAAAAAACATTTATTCTTCTAGACAATGTAACCAGCATAATTAATATTTTTGTCAGTTTTAACCACAGTGAAACAATAAAGGAAAAGAACTGGAAACCAGTTTAGATCAAATGATAAAGGATCATTATTTATCATTTTGTATTTTTCTTTTACTAAAAAAAATACTTTTCATGATTCCAAACGCACAAACTTGCAATATTTTACTAATTTTTGTCTACCAGTTTCCAAGAACAAAAGTTGTTTTCAATCAATCAGCGATTGCTCGCTTTAACTTTTATCCAACCGACACTCTTTATATTCCCTCACAACTATGACATTGCGTCATCCTTTCATCAATTGACCTTCACCTTAAATATTCTATTATGATAATAACCGCTCCCTATAGAATATTTATTTTATTATAAAAAGAAACCATACTTTTTTAGGAGAAAAACTGGTAGCACACTAAAAATGTAGTAAGTTAAAAATAACGACCAGAGTTAGTATGTTTTTTAAAAACAGACCGGAACCACACTAAAAAATTTAAAAAATTGTACTTACAAAACTTATCTTTTTTTAAACTGGAACCATGCTTTAAAAATTTTAAAGACAGTTTTAAAATGTAGTTCCCGCCCCCTCTTTAGAAAGTCTACTTGTTGAAAGTGAAAGGGGAACCACATTACCACATGAAAAAAGTTGTAACCATACTATTTTTTTTATTTCAAGGATATAATTTTTTTTGCTTTAGTTTCGTGCGGAACCAGTTGATCATATTAGGTAGAAACTGTTAAAGTTTTAAATATATTTCTAGTTTTGAACAGGAGCCAGACCAACTATTTCTAAAATTTGTGACAATTAGAAAAGTAATACTAGTCTACAATTTTTGTTTGGGACCAACCACCACATTAAGTATATAGTTTTACTTTAAAACCAGTCTAATTTGAAGATCAAGGTTTCAGAATTGTATCTAGTGTGGTTTCTCTTTTCTGTGGGTAATAGGTTTTTATTAATTTTTAATTTTTATAAC